ATAACAGTGGGCTAATAGTCTTTCAAAAAAAGTAGTGTCTTTTCTAAAATCGCGGTAGCGCAGCAATAAAGTTATCAATAAGTTTCTGCTTGATATCTCAGGCAAGAAGTGACCTAACCCATTTGTGGTCATTGTATAGCTCTATGTTAAACAGTTACTAACCATGTATAAATACTCCAATTCCCAATGTGTTTTCCAATTGCAGTTCTATCGTTCATAATGTCCCCTATTTGTTTTCATGTCTCAATGCAGACACGAATTTCAATGCTACTGAACTTTCGCTCTATATATGCAGTAGCTAGAATTTTTCGCCTCGACCAATGCTACCCTCATCCATTACTTATCTCAAACAAACCTCATTCTTCTCACTTACCTTGTATCTAATTATTATGCTTACTTATGTATTCGAATTTTTTGCAATTTCTTTCGTGTCTTCTGCTATATAGGTAACTTAAGGCTACAACAACAACAACATTCAATTAAAGCAAAGCACTAATTTATTGTACTATAGCTAATTACAGTACAATCTTTATTATGCATCAATACATTTTCTTGGTAAAAATTTTTGCTTCTTAGATGCGCATATTATTTTATCGAATGCAATTTTATAACAGACGGTTCTCAAACTTTTCCAGTCAAAAAGCATCTTTGGCATTGATTAATTTAATAATAAATATTATCTTCCAATTCAATTTTGTATTTAATAAATATAACGATATAGAGGTGCAAAGAGGATTTATTATTTGCATGTGCAGGGCACTATATTGTACATCACTGATAGTTATAGTTTCAATCATGTTAGATATTTTCAGGCATTACCAAGTTTTCGTGGTTTTGGAAACGTGGTTTAAGGATTACAAGTTAATGTAAGTATGTGATTTTAATTTCTAAGTCAGCTACACTGTTTCAGAGAAGATTTACTACCTCTAAGCATTTATGGAATAATACAATATCATTACCAATAGGATCAATTAGGAGTATTCAAATTTATCATTATCAATTAGGAATATTCAAATTCATTAAAAGTCATATGATCGAAGAAAACAAGTAGAGTTGTCTTGCGATCCATATGGGTCGCAGTGTATCCCCACTTTATTAATAAATAATATTAATAATGTTCAATAACACTGGCAGTACATTTAGTCATTTTAACATGAAGACATGTTAAAACTTGTGTTTCGTGTGCTGGTGAAATCATTGGTCTGTATTTTTTAAATGAATTACCGATCGGTCAAATAAGAATTTAATGATGAATGCCTTTTTTGTTTCACAATTAAATCGCCTAAATGGACAACATCTTGTAGTAGTAACTACAAGATCGCACAGAATACCACACAATACTCAACATAATCAGGTTATTGCATAAAATATTCAATGAATACATCATTTTACGTTATGGTGTTATGAAATGATCTGTTTGATTATGCGATCTCACTCTGTTGAGTTATTTTCAATAAAGAGTAATCACTAGTCTACTCATATAAATAGAAACAGTGAAGTAAGAGTATTGACTATTGTCATAATACGGATTCAGCTTTCAAAGGCCGTTTCATTCATCTCAGCCGTCTATAAATATGATGAAATATTATTGGTTCACATTTACCTTTTTAATAGTGTGTACTAAGAACATTACCATAATTTAATATTTAAAATCAAATCATTAAAAAATCTCACTATTCAATAATGGGTACTTCATAAATATTTACAAATTAATGATTTTTGTACTTATAAAGCAGCTCACAAACATAATGCATATTATTTCATATTATTCCTTATTTGAAATATTATACTTATTATTTATAAATTCTAATTAAATCAAACTTAAGTTACTAGTAAAATTGCACCTAATGGCTTACATCTAATTTTATATATGAACAGTGACATCGGATTTAACTAATGGACTGTAGCTTCCTCTGCTTTACAGTAGAGTAAAGTAGAATAAAGTATTTAATAGACTTTATCATTTCGGAGGGTGTATTCATCGTTATCGAATGATATCAAACCTAAAATTGTATCGAATTTAGGTGAAAATAGTTTTGATTAATATTCCGCATAAAACCAGAACTAGTATTTAATACTCACCTCTTTTGTATTATTTCTATAACGTATGTTTTATTGAATGCAAAAACTGTTTTTATTCTGGCTTAAATTCATCGTAGTATATTTGCTCACATACATAATAAAAGCCTTTTAGTGTTTTTTTTATTAATTTAATTATATTTTTAATGAAATTCGAAATACGCGCAAATAAAATATACGTTGTTAAGTTTAATTACCAGTCACAGGATAATTTGTACCGCATCATTATCGAGAGTACGTATGACTGCATTACAGATAACAGCCACAAATAAATTAGTTTGCTAACTGAAAGGCTTCCGCAATTTGTCAATATATATATAATTAAGTAAGCAATTGCTATTTGCAATTATTTAGCACGATAAAGATACGCAAAACTTTACAATATTCGGTGTTGTGCATTTCGTTTGTATATTTTAAACAAACTACTATTGATAATTACCAAAAATAGTACATTGTATATATAAAGTTTTGGTTTCAATTTTAACTAAAATATTCCATTCGTTCGACAAATAGATTTATTTTTATATTTTAATTTGATAGAGCCAAATGGGATAAAATGAATATTACAGGTAAATAATTGTATTATTTCAGACTAAAAATATTTGTTTATAAAATAAACTATTGAAAATAATAAATTACTTAAACGTTTTTGGAAATTGTGTTATCCTTTAAGATATTTTAAGATTTATTCATATAACGATTCATTGTTTATTATAGTGGATAGCAAATTATTCGTTTTTATAATAACTCAATTGCTTTGGGCTTCAGACTTCGCAGTTGCCTGATGGTTAACACGTATTTTACTGACATTAGAGCCAATATGCAGAAAAAAACTTGACTATATAAATATATTAAAGTGCTAACAGTTTTAAGATTTTCGTTACATATTGATTACAATCATTACAGACAAATTTACCATTACCTTTGATGGTATTTTATGATGATAAAAATCGACATATTACAATTTGTGATGAATGACTTGGTCCATCTGATCTATTTTACTGTATTACGCGGAAAAATTGTTTTTATTTTTCAAAAATTTGTCTTATCTTTAGAAATAGACTTCAACCTGCTGCCATTTCTTGTGACGCACCCATTCGATCAGGGTCGATTATATGGGTTACTAGCAATATTCAATTGATGTAAATTATAATATTATTTGGAACCCATATTACGCAGTACACCTATTAGATGAGTTTCAACTTTAATTGAATGTTGATTTTGTTACATATATATAGTTCGCCAATAATATTTAACTAGGGTAAGTATTGACAAAATAAAATAATTTGGATAACCTTCGATTTAAGTTAAATAGTGATATAGTCAATTTTTTTTTTATGTATCTATCAGTTAATAAAGATAATATCTAACTGCTATAGTCAAAATCTTTAGTACTATAAGAGTGTCAATTATCTGCAATGTGTTATACAATTGAAAATTGCAAAATTGTTATACAACGAATTACCTTTTATTTCAGCTCCCCCACATATTATTGGCTATATGAAATTAAATACTTTCCATCTTTAAAACCGGATGTGTACAATTCTTGATTATTGATGTTTAAGTATATTCAAAAATATAACTAACTTGAAAATATAAGCAAGAAATAACACTAAAACACTTTAGCAACTCTTTCAGCAATTAGTAATAATAGATTAAGTACCAGTGAAGTTGGTAATATTATATGCAAATACATATTCAAAAAAAAATACACCAAATCTATATTGTCCTACGATTGGGAGAATTGCAGGATAGTTGGTATTTTAATATTGCATGGTTGTAACGCTTGTGCGTTAACTAAATATCATCAGCAGTGATAATGACAGAAAATATAAGGAACTAGATATAAGGAAAATCCTAAAACATATCCTTTATGCCTATCCAGCTCTCTCGGAAACTCTCATAAAATTTACAAACCCTGATCTTATAAATTTCGGTAAAGTCTAAAATATGTGTAAATATATGAGGAGTATAGAATGATTCTTTGTCAGTCAAAATCAACACATTTACTGAATTCATATGTTAGTCAATAGTTTACAGGCTTCCTCTCTAACTTATATGTATGCATATATATATGGATTGCAGTAACTTAAGACTGAGAACAAATGCTAACACATTTTCAGCAATTGCAGTTAAATATTTGCTTTAATAAAATTTATTTTTCCAATAGTATAATATACCACAATATATGATATACTTATAAAAGACAGAGAGGAAGCCTGAAAATCAATGACTAACATATAAGCTTAGAAAATGTTTCGACTTGGATTAATTATTCTATACTTTTCTTATGCATATAATGTTGTATATAATATATACTATATAACATTTTTTATGTATATAAAATTTGATATAAACTCACTATAATCCAATATAAAATTTCAAAAAAATAGAAAACAATAACTGCATGTTATCAATTTTTTTTTTCACATGATAAAAAACCTTTTCTGGTATAGACGTAGAATTTTGAAGTAAATATTTTTTAAAATTCATGGATTGCGTACTTATAATACAATTTATTTTAAAACAATATATTAGAAAATTACAAAATGATTTGTTAATATAAATATATTTTTAACAACATAAATGTTATTCACATTTAAAACTTACATTAAAATTATTTTAATAAATTTTAGTGATATACAAAATAGGAAAACATATAGGATTAATTTTACTCATGTTTTTATATAAATTAATTTTATACAGATTATTTTTTAATATATATATAAATGTATAAAAAAGGATCTTAAAAATCCTTTTCCGACTGTACTTAAAAATCGTTGAAATTAAATCTCTTTTAAAACTACACAGTTTGCTATTCTATATAGTATATAACATAGTTAAATTTATTTTGCATGTTCTATAAATCAAATGCTATATTATATAAAATAATATTTAAAAATTATTTCGTAGTACTCGTATATACCATAAATGGTTATATTAAGAAACTTATAACAATTGTATTAAAAGATTCAATAATATGTATTGGATTCATTTTTAAATTGAAAAAAAATGTAAGATGTGTATAAATATGTACTAATCATATATATGAGTTTTATGATTATATATATTATTCAGTTTGACAGTATGAACTGGACTCAAATTGAAGAAAACCAGCTAGCGTTAATAGTATTTGTTTGAACAACGCCTGCGGTTGTAAATTACATACAACCTTTTAAAATCTTTTAAATAGACGTATATAGTACAAAACCATTAATGCTGCTACCACCCGCACTAGTCAATCGAGGCGATTTGTTAGAAGACGTCTTCTTGCACTATCACTTTCTCCATTTATTACACGGTCAATAAAAGCGTCCCACTGCTTTTGCCATTTTGACATGGCTAAATTCCGTTGCTCAACACTCATAGAACTGTACTGCAATGAGTTCATTGCAAGTTTTTTAAGTAGACGTATATCGGAGTGAGCAGATGCAATACCCAAAAATGCCATATAGAAATCATGTGAAAGTGGATTTGCTTTCCAAAATGATGGATCATCAGAAGATATAACAACTGGATAGTTGTCAGCAAAGAAATGCGCACACGGATGATTACGATAATCGGTTACTAGTTGTAATACTTGATTTGATATTGGATTTACTTCTATGGCAATATTTTTTTCTTTTAACATTTGTAGAACTAATGGATGTTTGATTAAAGCAAAACCATGTCCTATACGTTTTGTACCCAATAGCACAGCATCTACAAGATTTTCATCAACGGATGAGCCAAACCAGTTGGTTTCACCGGCATGGAAATAGAAATCAATATTGCTTGGCATGCTTAATAATTGTGGTATGAAATCTTTCAACGGACGTCCAAGTTCTTCTTGTCCCACTAAATCGAAGCCAGCGACAAAATTTGGATATCGTTCCTGTTAAATAATAAAAACGAATTCAATATTTGTTAATTTAAATTAATATATATAATAGAAATTTATTTGGGGATGATATGACTGGAAGTTCCAATGAAATGTGGATATGTGTACTAAAATACAGTATTTTCTATTTAGTGATATTTAAAATAACTTCAATTTAGTGACATTTAAAATAATACTTTGCTTAATGATATTTGCTAAACATTGTTAATCAACACTACGCAAATCACAATTTAATAATAATCCTATATATAATTTTTTATAGCTTCACTTAATGATAGTAAGTGTTCCATTTACATTTTAGAAAAAACAAAATAATTATTTTTTAATTATAACTAAAAAAGGAGCTGTATTTAGGGAGAGAAATAAGGGATAGATTCCATCAACAACTTCTTGATAATATATATTTTAAGAGAAATAAATATCAATTTCACAAAAAAATATATTTCCTAGTGGATTTCGAGAACTATGGGAAAATAATCAAGTGAAGTCTAACAATTATCGATTAAATAACTATCATTACTATCGAAAATTTATTTTTTCCAATTTATAATTAAATTTGTCTTCTGTCAAGGTAATTAATGGTGTTTTCGACTGATTAATCGGCACTCAATCTAGTTTTATTCTCGATCTGTCAAAATTTGTTGTCCAATTGAACATTTTTTTAGTCGTGTTAGTAGACATTTTTATATTTCACAAATAGATATGTTGAATCAATTCACAGTTTATCGGTCAAATCATATAAAACCCCAAACCCTCTTCAAAACCCCTCTTTATGCCTTGACTGGATTATTATTTATCTCATCATCAGACTAAGTAATAATTGATCTCAGATCTGCTAATATTTTTAGGGTAATCTTGCTACTCCGGCAAAATATCTAGAGTGTTATAAATCAATCTCAAGTGTTATACATTTTGCCCCAGATTTACCAGTCGAAAATAAAGTTGCACTAAAAGTGCATTAAAATATCATCTTGATTGAAAAAATTACTTCAGATTTATCAATCAAAAACGCCATAAGTCACATTCAACATTTAATTTTTTAAAATAGTTAATAAAATAGTTTACTAAAATAGTGAGCTTAATTTACTTATAAAAAAATAGAGGGCAATAAATTTTTTCTATTATCAATTTCCGTTTAAGAAACAGTAGTATAAATCGTTAACTCTTTTGTGAACCAACGTAGATAAACACATATACCTACTTCAAAATAATTACTTCAGTAGAATTATTAAAAGTCCATAAAATAATTAAAGATTTCAATTTTGTTGGACAAAAGCTTTTTGCACAAATCACTATCATGTATGAGAACGCATTTTAAAATGCACATTAATTGTAGTTGTCGTATACGAACCTTAATGTCAATGCAGATGCGTATATATTCGTCCAAGGTGGATGAATTTGCATTACGTATTGGAGCATAAATTAATTTCGAGCCAATAAAATCAGCATTAGCAGTCATGAATTTATCTAAAGTTTCCTTGTATATTCGTACAGTATCCAATTGAGTGTATTCTTTTCCCTCCATATCGTAAAGCTAAAAGAGAGAAAAAAAAACTTTTTTTCCAAATCTGTTACATTTCACAACTAAGTTTAATCAACTTACTACTGGCAATGTGGTTCTAAATTCCAAATACTGCACACCATCAGCATTGAACTCTTCTAATGCATTATAGTAATAATCTCCCCAAACGGGTGCGTACAATAACAAACCATCCAATAAACCGAAAATTTTCATAAATTCTTGCCAAGCAACGTTGTTGTCCAAAAACTTTTCAGTTGGATATAATGTGAAACGGTCGCTCAGATATGCATCCATCACATCTGCACCACGCCGTTTGCGCACATCTGACGTCAAGTCCCAGGTGCAATCTATTTCCATTTTATCTGTAGGCCGTTGTTTAGCAAATTTGAATGCTACCGCTTCGATTCCATCACTTTCCATACAAATCCACAAATTGGCACGATATGTCAATGTAATTAGAAAATCTGTGCTGCACAATGCTGTATCGTGTGCATGCAACACTGCACCTTTCGGCATCAACGATATGTACTCAAACAAAGGCGATGCTTTAATTTGTTCCAAAACACTGAAAAAGTGCTGAGAAGGATTAAAGATATGTGGTGTAATTAAGCCATCCTCGAACTCTTTGATTTTGGCTGCCATTATAATTTGATTTGCTTCCAGCTCAAGCTCAGTGAGCTCAACATTGGCACCAAGTGATTTCGAATCTTCGAAACGAAAGAACTGATTTCGTATGGAGTTATATACTTCCGTTGAGGGACGTCTTAATTCTGGTTCAATTTTGGATGTGTGCTCGTAATTCAATAAATAACTTGCAGGAACACTTTTGCGTTGATGTGTTCGACTGGCTGCAATCATCACACAAACTGCGAACACCAGCAGTGTTAGAGGACTAATACGTCGCATAATTGCGTTTATACAATATTACATATATATAATGAAAACTATGTTGTTTTGTTTAAAATAAGTACCACTTTGGTCGCACTCCAAATCGTAACTACTAATTCCCTTGTTAGCAATTTATAATTTCGGTAGAAATTTTCTGAATATTAATTGTTCAGTTCTCTTTAAATATGATAATAAGTATCAATCCGCACTTGAAGTTATCACTGAAATATAAGAGAACAACATGGTTGATTAGTATTTTAGTTGGTGTTTATCGGTTTTGTTGGTTTGATTAATATGTGATTTGATAAGATACTTATTGACTAGCGTAAGTTTCTATAAATCGTTGTTGATGTACAAGTGGTAACTGAATTCACTTTATTAGCCAAGCACTTATCCATTACAGTTCAAACTAATTGCTATCAGATTTTTTGATTTCTTTATTAGATTTACTGAATTGTTTCTATGGTTTTTTCTTCCAATCTTTAAAATAAATTGGTTGAAGTATGCACATATAAGTAAGAAATCAAAAAATGTGCTTATTGATATAAATCAGCTACTTATCAAATATATTCATGTTGATATGTTTCCATACTAACTGACAAGTATAAATATAAAATACGTATTTTTTATTTAAGCTCTTAAAATTTACATTTATACTTAACTAATACCAAGGTATAATAAATTTTGAAGTTTTGAGTAGTTCATCGCCATAAATGTGCGCTCTCGAAAAAAAGAATTTTTTTTCTTTAAAAGATTAACAGAAATTCAATTTTTTTTAAATTAAATACAGTTAGTGATTTCTTATATAAATATTATTATTTGCTTTTGTTTAAAAATATATAAACATATAATAATAATATCTAATATATACAAACATAGTATATCTTTGATATTATAATATTATTAACATTTGTATAAAAATTTATGATTAGTTAGTTTAAAAATGCTAAATCTAACTGTACCCATTGTAAAACCCTAAAGTTACTAAAGACAAACCTTAATAAATCCATTATCCATTGTAGAACCTTTAAATTCGATTAGCAAGTGCCAATGCGAAAATCAACACTAACAATTAGAGAGAACTATTAATGAACTATTAATATTTCTTAACATAGCTAGAAAAAAAAGTAAGGTTAAGTAAGTACACTTAAGATTTTTTTCATACATTTCCAATTGTTATACTTGTTCAATCATTTAGTTGTCCAGATAAAGTTGAGAATATTCGATAACACCTATAAGTTTCATAATCTTTCCCATGCTATTGGAAAAACAGTCTGTTAGGCATTTGAGCATAGCCATCGCTTTTAGTCCCATCAGAGATATAAAAGATAATTGATAGATTCCACTTTATTTTCAGTATGGCAACTTTTGCATAGTCAAGTTATCAGAAAGTGACAATATTAAAGCATTGGTACAATTGCACAATTTCTGCTTAAATACAACTTTCTCTTCCAAACTCGAAGGGAAAGAATAGACACTGAAGTGCTAGAAGAGATATAGAAGATAATTGATATAATCCACTTCCACGTTAGTATTAAAGAATTGCTGCAATTGCAAAGTACACTGTTAGTACTTCACTTGAATTCCGAAACTTTTTGAATTCTCATCGCACCTAATTAATACCACAGTATTCTAGTGATTTCACAAAGTCAACGCGATCAGTCCATAAGTTATTTAAACCCGCAACAGTTCATATAACATGGCATTTATATTCATTTTGGAGCTTCTTCTGATCATCTTATCAGCTAATATTTGCATATGGAGATATGAATATGAAGACTTTTTTCTCTTATAAAAAAATGGCTAATGTTTGCTAACATTAGAGTTTTTCAGTTTCATAACCACAATATAAATAAATCCCTTATAATTTTGTTAGATATATTCAAAGTTTACCACATCTCTTTAATTTAATTACTCGAATGAAATTTCTGCATTGCTGTGTAAATTTTTTCATTTCATTCTTAAGAGGTGGTGTTAGTGGTTTAAAGTCTCATATTGAAGGTTTTAATGCTTTTCACTTACTGCAATAAAAAGAAAGTTATATAGTACATATGCATATATATGTAGTAGATATATATATGTACTACATAAATCTGATGTTTTTTCTTTTTTGTTACGTAGCTGTCTCATTTCCTTTATAAAGAACTAAAGAAGATAAATGTACGCCGTACTAACTCTCAGTAGAGCAGAGTACAGCGATGATAACACAGAACTTTTATTATTTTAACCGACCCTAATTCCGTCTTTCATATGAAAGTTAAAGTCAAAGCTATTTAGGATAACCTGACATCACACAGGGATAGGAATTTGCGATCAAGTAATTTTTCCCGTGTCTACATAAGTTCCGTTCAGTCATAGCAAGTCTGACTGGTGCTTTTACTTGCTTCTAGATAGAGTAGTTATTTTGAGTCTTCAGAGGGACTCATTTTATTTAGATGGTTTTAGTTTGGGAATTAAGGAGAGTGGACACTACTGTAATTGTGTAGGACGAATCAACTCTTAATCAGATTGTTACCTGTAGTGTCCTGCGAGTAGTAATTTTTTCGGCTATTAAACCCTTTGCTATCAGAGACCCCGTTGTGAATCAACTTATCTCACAATGTCTTCGGTACACAGATTGTTTCCCTGTTTTAGTGCTTGTGAGATTGTTTTTTGGAAATTATTAGCATTACTCTCAGCGTACATTGATACCGAACAACACACCACACTGTTTCTCATCTTCAATAAGAACATAATATAATTTGATTTTAAGCTTTCAATTCATTATTCAATTTATATTGATTGCTATTTGAAGGCATCAGAGCTCGAATATGTTATATTATATATGGGTTAGGTTAGATTAAGCTGGCAGACCAGCATATTATATATTAGATTATTTAAAAACAAATATTTTAGCTAAACTTGCATTAATGGTAGCATTATTTTCTTAGAAGAAAACCAAAATATTTCTAAAAATTTTATCATAATTCTACCAAGCAATTCCCAAGCAATATGCGAACTTAAGTCAGTATTATCATATAAACTTTTACTGAATGGCAAAAAATTTTATAAAAATTTATCATAAATTTCACGATATTAGTAGGTTAAGATATAAACCACGATTTTATTATAATGTATTTAATATAATAGGTATTTATTGTTGCTGTAGTGTAACATTTCAAAAATATTTTACTTCTTGTTGACACAAAAATTTATAATAAATTCCCTGAATATAGTTTTATCCAAGCCTTCCATTGATTAATCCATGCGTTGATTGCGACATTTTTTTCTTTCTCATCCATTGCACTGTAAAATAAGGAATTCCAACATAATTTTTTTAAAATGCGGAAATTAGTTCCACGAGGAGTTGTTGCTATTA